ATATACTGTAAACAGGCGCCGTTCTTCGGATGAGACATAAAACCGAGGTCCTGACTCTCTGTGGTCATTAAAAATCCCCGGGTGTTTCACGAAAAGAGTAGGGGTGTAACCCCGGCGTCCTGGCCAGATTTTCTATTGGCCTTTACCAATCATGGCCTCCTAATAATCCCCATCTCTGAACTGGCTTCATTACTCTGCTCTCCTCCACACTGAGAGCTGGTGTGTGGGGAGCGTTCTGGCGCACTATGGTGGCCGTCGCAACATCCAGGTGGGGCTGCATATTGGTGGTGGTGGAGGGGAGTCCCCATTACCTGTAAAGTGCTTTGAGTGGAGTGTCCAGAAAAGCGCTATATAAGTGTAAGCAATTATTATTATTATAATAACATGGCCATTTTCCTAATATATTTTTCAGTGAGTTAAAAACATCTACTCATTGTAAAATTTTATGTGGCTTCAATGCAATGTGTAGCACAACGCATATCAAGTCTACAAAATCATGAATTCTGTCTCTGCATCTCAGTTAAAGTTTGTCTAAATCCAGGATACCTCTTAACATATTGGCTCATGCCTGGTAGTTGATGCTTAAATATTGTTTTAAAATGTACCACACACATTTAAGCCTTATCTATAGTGTACTACTGTCAATATCTTGTTCATTTTCTTTGGTTAAGATATTTTAAGAGATGTCTGACATAATGTCAGGTGTAAAGTTCAGCAAAAAGAGCCTATGGATACAAAATGGGAAACCTAGGAGAGACTATGAAAAAGACCTACTGTAGGTGTTTTTGTTGACATGTCATTTACATCTTTCTGGTCAATGTAGGGAAATCATTCAAAAGGCACACAAAATGCTAGGGTATACAGTTAAAAGCATAGAATGAACTCAGGTTATAATAAATTGTGCTGCATAACACATTAATAAGGCATAGACATAACATTTAGAATACACGTGACATTTAGAACATTTTGTCCAGTTTTGGTTATCATGTTACAGAAAACATACTGTTGCTCTGGACAACAAGACACACAGGGGTTAAGGGAATGTAGTACACCAACAGGCTGAAGGAAATGAACATTTTCAGTCTTGAACAGAAAATAAAAATGACATCAGGACCTGACAGAAGTATTCAAAATCCTCAAAGGCATGGATTTCTACAGAATCAACAGTGAAATTTATACCAGAGAACACAAGTGGAAAGTACTTGGAAATACATTTAAACTGAGAACAGGAGGCACTTCTTTACCCAAAGGGTTGTGAGATTGTGGGACCAGCTACCCAGCCATGTTGTTTGAAGTCTATACCCTAGCTCAAGATAAGGCTGGATAGATCCTTGAATCAATTAGCTACTGTACTTATTACCAAATGGGCTAGATGGACAGAATGGACTCCTCTCCTTTGTCTTCTTAACAAAAAAGTTAACGAATTTCGCATAATAAATCTTATGAGGTAAAGAGGACTATGAAAAGTAACTCAATCTTTAAATCAAGAATTATATATGCTTGTTTTAACTATACCCAATCACGTGCAATTTAAAAATAGTGTCAACGTAGTGTCTTTTTAATAGCTGTGCAGCATTTAAAACGTCAACCTATTTTACAAAACATGTAAATTGTTGAATTTGATTCTTGTCCAATTTATAAAAAGAATTCAACACCCTTATTAAGCAACTTTATCATTAATTAGACCCAGTTCTAAATTATTTTGCTTCTTAACAGTCCTGTTCTGTTCCTGTTGTCCTGACCATTGCTGACAAAGCTTCCAAAAATGTAGCTAACACCACATTTAGACACAGTACTGTATTAACATTTAGCAGCTTATGTTTATTCTATATGAAAACAAGTTGCTGTGATTCAGCGAACCAGGAAATGAATAATGTGCATTAGCACTATATACGTACTGTGGCTACAATTACCTCTGACCGCTAATCAAATCTCATTCCAAACAGCAGTTCTCTGTTTCAAAGTTCTTCAGGAAAAGAAGAGATCAAAAACACCCATGGAAGAAATAAATGAAATGCCTGGCTAAATCTGGAATAACATTACTCCTAATTACTCCATTTCAATAGTATTCTGATCATAATGTTGTTTCAATACCAAGATTTTAAAGCATAGTGATTGTGCCAATTGATGTGTATTGTGAGGTCCCCCCTTTCCAACACTTTTCTAAATGTGATGCTTAGGAATCACTGTTACTACTCTGTGAGTGCCAGGCTTTAATGATATAAGACAACCAGCCAATTTCTGTAACTGCGTTTATATACTGCAGTGGTTCCCAACTCTGGACCTGGGGGATCACTGTCTTTTCTGGTTTTTGCTCCAGCCCAGTTCTTAATCACTGGCTAACTAATTCCAGATTACTACCTGGAGCACATGTTTAAATGTGCTTTCAGCTCTTAAAAGGTATATTGTTTGAAATGTAAGCCCCTTTAGAATATATAGAAGGCAAAACAAAAGACCATTGTGGGAGTGTCTGATAGATTGTCGCTCTTCCCTGTTTGTCAGAAACTGGTCATCGATTCAGAGCTTAGTCAGAAATGTAGGTAAGGAACCTGAGGAGAGTTTGCTTAAATCTTTGAATGTTCACATTGGTGGAAACAATACCCTTGACAAAGGCTATGTTTGAAACTCAGAACTGCATGGAAAACCATGTTTGCCCAAATTCTAAACAAGTTGGCAGATCAATTAAAAGGATTAAAGATACAGAGATCAGCTGGATCAAAAGCCAGCAGATAAAGTGGTCACTCTGGGGTTGGGCAGCAATGATGTGGTGTTTTTCACCCCAAATGATCCCAAAGTTATTTCCAGAAATTTATAAACAAAAGGGGATATACTCTTGCTACAAATTTAGTGCAACACCCAAATGCATCTCACCTATGTAACACACTGCCATCATTATGTTTTAGCAGCCTCACTACACAACGGACCAAGTAGCGAAGAAATTACTTTGCCAAATGAAGGGTTAACTCCTCCACTCTTGCAATGCCATGAGCTTTGAAGGAACAAGTAGTCAGGACTGCAGTTTAACATCCTGTCCAGGGTGCCACCTCCTACAGCACAGTGTACCTGGTTATCACATGGGCTACTGGTTAATGGAAATTGTGGACCAGAGGGAAATCAAACCTGATGGTGGAAAGGCTGCTGCTCAACACTTCACAAGTCAATGAATGTGTTAATCTGGAAGCAGTATTGAAGGCCATATGTCTGCCTTTTACCAGAACAATTCTACCTTTTGTCACTAAAATATAACTTAGGTGTTTAACTGGCCCTATGAATAAAGGCATTATGAACTTGATGAAGAAAAACTGTTTACCTGGTACAAAAATAAAGGCTCCATCCCATTTTCACACCAGAAACAATCTATAAACTAGCCTTGGCATATTACAGTATCTCTCCACTTCCACGCACTAAGAATGCATTTAAAATACAGTTCATGATTTAATAGAAATGATAAAATGTTTTAATGTAAAAATGAGATGTCCAAGAAATATAGGAAAAAATATTTTTAAATTAATGTAACCCACTGTTGTTGAAAACTGTATGATGGTAGAACATAAATTACAATAGTCTCGGAATATTTTAAAATTATTTTATTTAAACCTATTATGTAGTCTCCGAGGTCTGTAAAATTTGAAGTTCAATGATTTGTACTTAATATTAATAATATATTAATATTAGTGGCAAGATAAAAACAACACGAACTGCAACTGCAGAATACATATGAAATGAAGTTTCAACAATTTATACAAAAAATGCTTGTACTACAGAAATTCCTAATTACACACTGGTGTCAATTAAACAGATTATAACTACTTGCACTGGCAGATTGATAACCTTTTCAATCACAAGGCCATAATTATTTTCAATTATTTTCTAAAACTGGAAACAACTGAATTTGATGGCTAATTACATGTATTAATTTACTAGTGTGAAACACTATACAAACTCATGCGCCTAATACTCAAATATAGTTTTGTTCAAAACAGACCTTTATTGCAATAAGACGTCAGTGAAATAGTGAAAGAGACAGCATTGTGTAGGACTGGTAGTATTAAAAAATGAATGCAAAGTAGGACCGAAGTGACAGAATGAAGTGAATGAATTTACAATACAAAGTACTGTCAGTAAGAACAAGATTTTAAATGGCAAATTTACACTGATCTCTTAAAATGAAATGGAACCCTTAGGTTACCATACGGCTGATGTTGATTTATATACTGTAAAGGTTAGAGTAAGGGTACAGTTGGAAAACTAGTCAAAACTGATAATAGTACAAAAATAGGGGAAATGACAACCAGAAACAGTGGAAAGGGAATTATAAAAAGACTTAGACCACATCATGAATTGGTCGATACTTGCCAAATGAAGTGTAACATTAGTAAGGAACAATAGGTTACTGTCCAGAGCAATTAAGATATTGTAGTCTGAATTCATTAAATCTCATAAGCTAGGCTGGGCATGGTCAGTACTGAGATGAGAGACCTCTAATGAAAAACATTTTGCTGCAGTGAGTGGTTTGACGGAGCAGTAGGCGGTGCTCTTCTCTCTGGACTAGAATTTATACAATATAAACAATATTACATTAAAATATAATATATATAGTCCAGAAAGTAGGATGCAGTAGAAGACAGTGGGAGGTTATGTCTTTCAGACGAGATGTTAAACCAATTATAATAATTATATGATCATTAACATTGCCACAGCACTGTTTGTAACTTGATTAGGGTTGTTAACACTGGTGTCCTGCGCAACTTTTACTCTTCCACAATCTGACCTCTCTATAGTTAATGACCTCTGGCAAAACAATCTCTCAGTTCTGCACTTCAGAAGCATATTCACCTAACGGCTGTCGTGTACTGTAGGTAGGTGCTGCAGTTCCCCACTTACTGTATATGTAAAGTGTTCTGGTACATGAAAAGAAGTAAATTGATGCGAATAATTATTAGTTATTGCTCAGCTTGCTCACTATTCTAAAAACGGCGTAAATGAACACGCTGGCTTACCTTGGAAAGGCCTCCAACCTCCAAGTAAAAGCAGATTATGAAAACATTCCAGGCTACCCAGAGGGCATTCCAAATGGCATACTAAAAGAGACAAAGGAAAGATGGTGGTGGTCAAACAAAGTGAAGAGCTCAGAGCACAGGGAAAAATCAATATGGCAAGACAGCTTCAATAACGCTCCATTGGGAAGCATTAAGGACAGCAAGCAAGAAAATATACCGAAGGGAAAGCAGACCTCCCTCATCCCAGCTCCCATGTGGGCTGTGGCAATCTACTAATCCAATTCTGCATCTGTTGCAAATATTGACGAGTCAAAATGAGATTCATTGTGTCTCAAAACCAAATGAGACCAAGGAATCCCTTGCCTCAGCTGACCAGGCAAGTATTCATTGCTTTCATTTTACAAATGACAAGAAAGATGCTGCAGGAGAGCTATAAACAAGAATGAATAGTCTAAACATTTACATTATAAACTCATACAACAAGAAAAACGATTACTTCCCTCATAGTAAGAGCATTTTTTTTTAAATGTTGAAAAGCAAATGACATTTCAGCCTCTAAAGAGTAGTCGTCTGGCAGCTAAAAGCAATATATTTGCAGCAAACATTTCAGACCAATGTCAGTATTAAGACGCACGGACAAAAATGTTTTAAAATAACCAACTTGCTGTTGTTCGATCTGTGATTCTAAGTGCAGGCCAATGTATTCTAGGCTCTAGCTGAAGTCAGTGACAGATGTGAGTGGGATTTAGCATAATAAAATGAGGCTTTGAAATATTCTCTTTGGGAAAGGGGTTCATTGTCAGACGTTTAAAGCATTCCTCTTCCTTAGAACTGATTGTACTGTATGCAATGCTGTGAAGTTTTACCCCCCTTCAGAAAGTTTTCAAAATGAAATGAATTAAAATGTGTTCCATTTAAAATCTCTACACATATAATATATAATACAGCATCATCAAACAACAGCAACCATAACAATAGCAACATGTAACACAGCAAAGATAAGATAAAAACATACAGCAGGTGGTCATACAGTAGCTTTGTCATTTTGAGAGCCATTCTAGTGGATTTTCTAACTTTATTATTGGACTTGGTTGACTCTTGTCTCTCCAAGGGCAGAAATGCAGAATAGCACAATATTTTCAAAATGCAGTGATTCAAGGATTTGACTACCCACCCTAAAAATTATACTGGTTTGGGAGAAAGGGTGTGGAAATGTCATGATTCCACTCTTGGATAAACAGTCGAAAGAGACTGTGAGGGAGGACTTTCAATTTGCTATGGGGCCGCAGATAAACTGATTGGTTCACAGTATTGTTAGAACTGAGATAAATTTATAATGATAACATAAGGTCTGTCTACAATGATAATTTAGTGTTATGCACACAGGTTGTTTGAAATATGGTTATGTGCTAAGGAGAATCTTTTAATAATAATAATATTGGCTTACACTTATATAGCGCTTGTTGAAAATAATAACTAGATTTAACAGATGCAATGCAGAACTCACATGAGCCACATATGTGTCTGAATATGCTGCTCTGTTCAGTGGGAAAAATAGCTTGTATGAAAAATACAGTGCTTTTTAAAATCCATTTTACAAATGCAGCCGATAAATAACTAACAGGTACACCATGTGAAAATGTACATTTTCTGTGAAAGCACTTCACTCACAACATGAGAAGAGCAGCCGTTGTTTTTTCATTACAAAGATTAAGTCAGAGAAGATAGCAAGCATCCTGTCAACACACTGCTCTCTATTTTAACTTAAAATATCAATCATCTCACACAAAAATAAACTCCTATCATTAGGGAGGAGAAAAAACACATATGCCCATCTGTGAGGATATTTTCCTGTAAACCTAACAGAAATAACTGTTCCTTAATACCATTCTGTTACAAATTCCTGTTTTAACAGAATATCATCATCAATTAAATACTGCCTATAGTAACCATATGTCAAACTAAAGAGGGTTCAGATGGAATAATTCACAGCACAGATGGGGCTAAGCTTTTAGGAAACTGGACAGCTGTAGACCGAACCACCAGAACATACCTTGTCGGAGTTCTAATTTAGCATTTAATTGTTCGTTGAAAACAAATGTTTATATAATCTGAGATTTTGTTACCGATTTAATAACTATTTTTATTAAGTTATATATCAGCCTATATTTAATCTTAATAATTATTAAATTGTTGATATAGGATCTTGGTTTTATTCCAATTCACCATGAGACCAAAATGGCTTCGCTTCCCCATTGAGTAACTCCAGAACAAGGACGTGAACTTCCAGAATTTCTGCCGAAAATTTAACATCATCTGCGTGGTCGAAGTCAGTGAATTTAGTCTTCCAGTGTTGTGTCAATAGATCTAGTGCTCTAGATCCACTCCAGCATCTGATGTCAGTTTATAGCTTTGCCTGTCCTGGCTCAGGATTTCAACTTGCTGTCAATAAAGGTGATGTATAATATTCTTTGGAATTCTAGCCTTGACTGCAGCAGAACCATCAGCGGAAGGATTCTGTGTGTCGTGGACCTGACTGGGGTGAATGCTCTCTGTCTGAGTCTCCTTCCAGTTTATAGTAAGTTCTTCACTCTGCTCAGCAGAGTGTGTGTACTGTATGTACCTGGAGCACTTCTCCTAACAGACTGGAAGAATGATACCCGCTTGCTGCTTCAGCTGTGCACATCACCATCATTATTGTTGTCCTCATTGCTGATGATGAACCCCTTTATCTTACACAATTTAAATTACAAATAATGAGCTTAAAAAAAGTCCATCGTGTAGAGTGTTAAAAACAAAAACAAATCACTTCAAGGCACAGAAAGAAAAAACACATCCAACGATCTTAAGCTAATCACAGTCCTGATTTTCTATGCATTTGTTTCTGCCACAGGGATGAGTGGGAAAAGAATGAGAGGATTTAAGAGATAGGAGAGCGAAGAGAAAGAGCAATTAAGTGACAAGCAGGAGAAGAGTGGACAGAATGAATGATCATAGAGGGAGAAATGACAGACTGGAGATTCAAGGGAGCATATTGATGCAGGGAGTAAGCGGGAAGAACATGGAAAGTGGCAGCCAATGAAATGTGCACGGTGGAGGAAAAGCAGGATGAAGAGAATACTGAGCGAGCGGCAGAGCCTAAGAGACAGTGACTTGTTGATGCAGAAAAGCAGCATAGGAGAGCGGCAGAAGTTCCGTCTAGACAGAACAGGAACTTGGACATGGAGCGGAGTGTGTTAGAAAAGGGCAATCCTGTAGAACAAGAGGACATAAGCAGGTAACTGAAGACGCTGATGAGTGGGAGACAATGAGAAATGAATTGAAAAAGACGTGGAAGGATGAAGAAATACAGAACAAGTCATATTTCCTCAGGTTGGATTTGAGGTGATACGAGTCCATCCAGGACGAGATTACTAATAGGCATTGAGATATGCAAAAACTCATTTCAAAGTTATAAGATTGGAAGGAAAGATCTGAACATCATTAGTGGTGAAGTGGGGGAAGACCCGTTACCAGGGAATTAAATAAGAGAACCCAGTGATAACTGAAGCTTTTTCGTCTTAAGCAGCGACAGGAAGGAACACATTCCATGTTCCACTGTCAATCCTCAAAGGCATTGACAAAGTAAACCCAGTGGACTTCTTCAGAATAAAATATGAACCCAAGTCAAAAGGGAAAGTGTTGACTACAGAATGTGTACTTAAAATTGAGGAGACACTTACCCAAAGTGTTGCTGGCATTTGGGACAAGCGTCCTAGCCATGTTGTTGAAGCCAAAACACCCTGACTGTATAAGATCCTTTGATCAATTAGCATTCAGCTACCAAATGGATGAGATGGGCTTGTTTGTAACCTTTCTTGCTGTATGTTCTTAATGTTACCTTAAACTTCACTAAATACAGGATTAGAAGCAAAGTACGTTTTGTAAAACCTTTTCAAATTATCAATACTTTTCAGAACAGTAACATAAAGGAGTTTCCCAGAATACTTCTTCAAAATGATGTCACTAAAAATAATGGAATAAATTGAAATTAATCTTTACTGTACATTTTGTCGGTGGTGTGGGTTGGGGTGAGGGAAGTCATTCTAATATAACTTTATAATTTAAGCTTTATAAATTGCAAAGTATCTTCAACATTTAAAATGAAAATGGAAGAATACATGTCAGAGGATGTCAAGATAGACAATAGGCTCTTAACTTTAACATTTTACCGCGGTTTCATTAGGAAGAACTCTTTGGCAGGCTTGAAACAAATTACCTGTACATGGAAAAAACAATTGTACAGTGAAAAACAAATTGCACTACAAATACTGACAAAAAGCCAGGGAATAAAAAATATAGACTGGCACAGTTGCTGCAGAAAACAAGTTCAGAGTATAGCTTAACACATAAAAAAGTATAGCATAACACTGAAAAATGTGATACTTTACAGATTATTTGTATATTAATTTTTTGAAAAGCCTGTCTCTGAACATTAATGTCCCCTGTTTCTATTCTCCCAGGAGGAGAACATATTTCAGTAATGTAAAATATGGACTGAATAAATCAAGACCTATAAGAGAGAAAAAACATATTTAATACATTAAGAGAATAATACATTTTATAATCTGATTTTAACCAAAACTGTAATAATCATACTGAACTCTGCCATATTGAAGGGTTAATATTATCAAAACCTGCAAAATTGAATGATTATGTACGCATCAAGACGCTCCAAAGTCAGTAGTTAATTGGATGTACCTTTGGCAGCGAGTACGTAGTGACAATTTTTATGAATAGGTGTCTGCCAGCTTTACACAGTGGGATGGTGCACTTTCTGTGCACACTTTGTGGCAAAATTATTCCAGTTCTAGTAATCATCATTTACCGTCAATTTCAATTGGATTCAAGACTGTCACTGAGTCACACAAGGACATCAACTCCCTTCATGTCAGACCACTTCAGTGTGTCTTTGGCTTTGTGCTTAAAGTCATTGCCATGATGAAATGTTAATTTCTGACCCAGATTTAGATTCCTGAAAGAATGAAGCAGGTGTTTCTGTAGGAATGCTTTGCACCTTCCACTTTCTCTTCTATTCTGAGAATCTTCCCAGTCCATGATGAGAATCCAAATGGCAAGATGCTGCCACCACTAGTGGCATCTAATACCGTCATGCTGTGTTGGCCTTGCACTTTGCATTTAGTCCAAAAGGGTCAGATGTTTTCTCATCTTGCTACAAGACCTTCTGCCACGTTCTGCCACATGTTGCACTAAAATGTACTTAGTCACAAGCTCTTTATCTGTAATTCTTTATCGTTCTTACAACTTCCACATACAGTACAGGCCAACTCCGAGTTAAAAATGTAAAACACCACTGTTGGCCTAAGGGGTATCATCCCAAACGTTTCCGGCTTTCATGGCCACTGAAGTTGGAAGGCAATCTGCTCTGGCTAGTGTCTGACTGGTGATACCCACATTCTGCTTCTTAGTAATGATCAGTGACTTTGACTCGGGAAATCCTGAAACTTGTGATGGCTTCCTCACTCAATGTGACATCGTGTTCTCCCTGCAGCCATCTTCCTATCCTAACGAAGACTCAAAGGGCGCCTTTATTATCTACCTTCTAAGGGGGAAGGTTTTTTAAGCAGCATTAATCAATGCTAGTCAAAATTTAGTCAATGACATGTTGATATAAGAAGACACACAATGTATAATGCTGAACTCTGTACATTACTTATTTACAAGGAGACTAGATAAACACTGTGCCATAGGGTATTTAATTATTCTGCAACTAGCATCTTCTTGTTTGGATGGTTCTGGAAATACTACTCAAAAACAGATTTCATTTTTTATCTATTTACATGAATTTGTTACATACTGTACTGTATGTATCGATGCAAAGAGTCACAGCACAGTTCATTGCAGTTTTGAAATAAGTTTATTCAGCCATCTGGGGAGCAGAACACACTGGTTTATCTCCAGTTCTTCAGGCATCTTAGGTGACAGATACAACTCAAGAACAGGGGAGATGAAGATATTGTACTGATTGTACCCATGCTACGCTCTAACAAATTGTGCAATCAAGTCTAGGGAATTCATTAAAGAGTAATTTAGTAATGTAGATCAGTTGCAGTTTTGATTTAATACTTTTGTGCGGGTAGCACTGATTGCATTTTACACATGCCCAGCTCATTTCTGTGTTGACTAGGGTAAGTCTAGTCTGTTAATGGGACTTTCCAGCCCATTTCACTGTAGAATTGAGACCCAATTGCTTCCAAACCTGTTAAATTGATTTCTACAATTAGAGAGCTGCACCAAAGACTTGGTGACATTAGAATGTCTCATAAGTGATTATCCCTGATTTTGATCTATTGGCTTGTTAATAAACATTCACTTAATTATACAATCATAGCCCAACCCGTACTTTCAGAAAGTAAATAAACTAGTTATATAGGATATAAAAAAGAAAATACTTACCACCACAATATATTTTGGCCGGTACTGAATGGTTCCGAAGAGGCCCAGAATGACAACAATGATGTGCAGGAAGTTTCCAAGAATAGGTGCCCACTGGTAGCCAAGGAAATCAAAAATCTGTCTTTCTAACGCCCCCAGCTAAAAAAGAAAAAAGATACTTTAATACAGAATTTTTTTATCATACTTCAACAACAAGGGTTTCAAAACTGTAAATGTGAGCAGACAAAACATTGTTGTTCAAAAACATTCTGCTTAATACTCAAATGCTAGATAGAACAAGGCAGATAGCTAAAATGTGTTGTCATACACTGAACATTTTTCTTCCTACCGCATTCCTGTCAAATTAAAACCATTCCTTTTCCAATTATCTCATTTTCCATTCAATGTGAGATACAGAATTCAGATCTTTACAACTACAGGGTAAAATCAAAGCTTTCCAGCAAGAACGTATTTGTTTGTGAACATCTGCAACACAAATTCATGTTACAACATATTCTTAGCGTGGTTCATGAAAATACAAACCAAACCATGTTTTTTTTATTAATGAGATTATCTGAATGAATTATAGTAATCTTGGAGATTAAGCACCAGTGACAAATATACTACAGCAGAACCTTCCTTAGAGCTTTTGAAACCCTCTAAATAACTGCTTTTTTGAGTCAGCTTTCATTTACCTACTTTTTCTCCTCAGATGAACGTTTTTAATCATTTTAATGAACTGAAACAGAGAGACTTGAACCATATTTTTATCTCTTGCACTCATGAGAATTGTTTAATTTTCAATAAGACCAAGAAACAAACATGTAAAATTTAACTGAGAAGTGTTTTGACTGTGATACAGGTCAACACTTATTAGAATCTTGACTTCTATTCAGTTAGAATTAAGCCTGACCCATAAGTGGTTAATCATTTACAACTCATAGACTCAGAATAAACTCTCAAGGGATTTTAATCAATTTAAAAGAATCACACTGTGCTATGTACTAATATATTTTTCAGTACTACAACCCATAGTTGTTCAGCAGTATTGACTTCAAAACACAAGTGAAAAAAAGTGATATTCCACCATGCAGTAAGTTAACATTCATAAATGTACATTACTAGCTTTGAAGCAAATTTTCTTGACCATAAGAAAGATCTCTCTTAAATGACCACAGCACAGTACTGAATGAGATTTAACAAGTTATCTTCAAATGATCCCTGAGAAGCTACATACTGTATGGCACTAAATCATTTTAATTACAAAAGGATGAGTTAATCATTTTATGTGTCAGAGCTCAGGAGTGGCTAAAAATGTTTTCATTTTAAAAACAATTCTCTTTTATAGGAAAAACACCATTTATCACTGACCTACCTGAAGACAAAAAATAACCCAGAAAAAAATAAATTTTGTGAATTCAATATTTTTATTTCATTTGGCTAGTAACTGCTTCAGGCCAATTGATCTCTTGCAGTTGCAATAGCAATATCTCTAAAAACCGACTTTAAGCACATTACATCCATCTATATTGAACAATCATCTTGGTAATTTAGCCAACAAAAGCAGCGTTGAAAAAACGTGGCAATGTAACACTTGATTGTGACAATGTGTATGGAAGAAAAAGAACGTATTACTTTTTGTTTCACATTTGAGGAACACAATTGCATTCATCACGACATCTTTCACTGTCATTTCCATTAAATTAATAAAAACTTCTGTACAATGCTGCACCATACTCAAAGCTAGTAGGAGGATTTATCTTCACTGACGTTTATAGGGGTATGACTTATAGAATTAGTTATGACTATTAACCTTGTCTTTGTTGTTTCTCCACGGACATGTTCTGACAGAAGGTCCATTCACCCTGGATCAGCAAGCCTCCTGATCTTTGTGGAAACCCAGGTCAACAGCTGCCAGCAATTGGCCACAGTGAGGGAACAAGAAGACTGTAGCCCGAAGTCATAGCACCTGGGTTTCAGCTATTACCCAACTGCCTGACATTTATGGTGGGGAAAGAGTCTGTGTGCTTATGAAACCAATGCCTGTCATTATAAACTAATTGTCTTTGTATTCACTTACCTAGACGAATTCTCATTTGCTTAAATTTCACGCAGCCTTGTGCCATGTTCCCCTCCCAGCTGTTCCTCTGTTTGAGATAGTTTGCGACCTGCTTATGGAGATTTTACACTAGAGCTTCATCCATTAAGTGCAATGAGAATCAAAAGTCCCATGGTGGATTTGTAATATTTCAAGGTACAGCTGTTTAATTTTATTGTCAAAGTACACCCAGTCCTCCCTTTTTTTGGTGAGGGATGCATTCCTGAACTACCCATGGATAACAAAAAACACCTATCTCCAATACCATAAATATATACCAAGAGTATGCCTAATGCACCATGTGAATGAGCTCAAATAAGCCATATAACAGATTAACATGACAAAAAAATAGTCAACTGCACTGTTTTCTATCATAAAATTAATCAAAATTAACAAAGTTTGATGTGTAACAAGGAGGAAAACATATGCATGCACGTTTTACATTGAACCTCTGAGAGTCATTTGCATTTTTAGTGTGGTCTGAGACGTTTCAGGCCTCTAAGAATAATCTAGAAGCTTCCAGAACGCTTCCCACACCTGGGTTGGTCTGACCCTGCGAGTACGCAAAACTGCTTGTGAAAAACCATGGATAAGAAGGAAAGCGTACGGAGCTTTTGATATTGCACCCTCTTGCATTATTATACTAGTATTATTATACAGCCCTGAAGGCTGAATTGCATCTTACTGCCATCTTTAGCTAAAGAAACTATTTAGTGGAAAATTAATACTACTTAAATTTTTCAAATTTTTTAGATTTGTTTCTGGCACCAAGCAGGTGAAAAACCCAATGAAGAGACTGTGATGGAGAACAATGAGTCACCCTATACTGGAAAGAGAACACTTATTCGAAAGTAGAACATCAGGAAAACCACCAAAACACTATCAATTCACATTGCTGCAAGCCCATTTTTTAAAGTATACTTTCATTAATGCATGGTTTAATGTGCTGAGACTGACATGAGAAATTGGAGTGGATGAAGTGGGTCTCCCCCTAAATAATTATTTCAGGCACATTAAACGTATATAAAATCAACACAAATATTTATATATACAGTATATTAAAAATGATTGTGTCCTATGACCTTTTATTTCAATTTAGGTCTACAAAATGAATACATAGTCTAGAACACACTTTATTCTAGAATGCAAACAATTCTGCTATTTGAGAATTAATGCTTTATGAGGAACTTCATCAGAAGCCTTCTGCAAATCTAAATTTACCTTTCAGAATGCTCTGCGTGTGCCCATTCCTTATGTTGCTTTGAAGAGTTCTAAAAGTAGTGAAGCACGGGCTGCCTTCTCTAAATCCATATTGACTGTTCCTTAAAATCCAATTTTGATACAGCCGATCCTCTAGTTCTAATTGTTTCCACGACCTTGCATGTAGGAGAAGTCATGTTTAAGGGAGGGCACTACACTGGCAATTCATTACTCCATGGGTACTACACCTGTCTGTTGGACAAGTTGGCTTATAATTCCTGATGTTTGGTAAGGATATCATTGTTATCTCCAGGATACCAATTGATTTATTATTCATGAGAGCTTTTAGATACCTAGATACTTCTGCCTCTTCTGAGTTAGTAGTATATAATAAAGAATCTTCTTCCATTGCCTGAGGCATGTTGACTTATTCCTTAGTAAACACCTGAGTGAAGTACATATTTAGCACAACAGCCATTTCTCTTTGTCTAGAAATCTCCCTTTATTGTTCCCGAAACATTTGACTAGTTTTTCTTTTGCTGTTACAGCACTTAACTAGCTTTTTTATTAACTATTGTAGCCTCCTTTGCAAAATGTCTTTAAACCACTCTTGGTCTTGCTGAATGTCTATATGTGTTCACAATTACACTCCGTTTCTTCAGCTGGATCCTGTCATTTCTTAACACTTTCTTTTCCCTTATGTTTTTCCTAATCGATTTCTTAACCCATCTGAAATCGTTTTTTAACTTTTATTTTTCTTACAGAATTAAAGTCTCCTGTGCTTCAAAAAGAATGTATTAAAACTGTTAATATTCCTTCTCCATTGACTCCACATCTTTTCTAGCCATTATTCCTCTCTTGAGCTCCGTCTCAGTCTTTCGAAGGCTGCCTTCTGGAAATTGTAAACTGAATTACAGTAAACCCTGAGTTTAATAAACCAATGGGGAGAAGGGAGAATCATGTTGCATTAAAATTTTAAATGACATATGATGTTTTTCCAGCCCATAAACACACTATGATATGAGAAATAAAATATGCATATACTATATTTACGCTTTCTGGATAAGTAAATACAAAGCAGCACTGTATTGCCAATACAGTACACTGTACTGTATACTGTATACTGTATACAGACACTGTCCTCATGGCCAGCTCATTCATACAGGTAAACTAGGCAGTCCCCCAGGGTGTAATGGGGTATCAAATTTGAGAAAAAAAAATCATGGCAAAATTGTAAAGGCTTTAAAATACAAATTAAAAATGCAGATGTCATTATTCAATTCATGCATGCAAAAGGAGGGAATAATACTAAAAGAGTCATGTAAAAAAGATCAAAAGGATATTTTTGTTTCCATAAACTGATCTTTGGAAACACATATACATATTTAAATAGATCTTTTTAAGCATACTGGATATACAACCTTAAGCTTTTGAGATGCAAATTAAACCTTCAGATAGCTGGACTCAGTACAAATGTTAAACCTTGAGCAGCATCTAGCAGCATTATTTAAGAGAATCACTTTTGCATGGTTAGTTCCATGTACTTAGTTCCAGAGATGCAGTTAAATGTTTCAGCTTACTTCAGTAACATTTGGAAATTGTGTACGTTTTTTCAAATACAACAAAAAACGCTGTGAGGCTTTGCTGAGAACAAGAACTTTTAATTATTTTTAACCATATAATTGAACAAAATGACAGGGAAGTTATATCATAATGTGTAACTGGTATTTTTTATAATAAACTACATATTTAATTTTGTATTTTGAGCTTGGTTTGGGCTAAAATGTGCATCTTAGGTCAGCTGGCTAGTGAACAGAACTATAATAATCAAAACGTTGACAACCATGGACAAAGTTTTAAA